CTGCTCAGCGCACCAGTGCTGGGGGGCTGCCTCTGGTGCCCATGGTGGATGCGGAGCGTGGACACCAGGCCCCTTCCCTGAGGATGCTCTGCCAGCACGGGGGAGAAGGCCTGGCACGCACGCTCCTCACGCTTCAACTGTCACCCAGGGGCGGCAGCCTCCCCACGCCCCAGGACCTGGTCAGAAACTCAGTCCTGGGCCCACCCTGCTGCATCAGAGCCCGCATTCTGACAGGCCACACGGGGGTCCTGTGCACATCCTGGCCCTGATGCCAAGGCTGGACCCCGCCCCTCAGGCCACCTGCCTTGCTCTGCCCCCAGCCATGACCACACCTCCCCGCCCAGGGCCAGTACCCCTGTGTGAGCCACCCCGCTCCTGGGGCCGCTACTCCAGTGCAGCCTCAGCTGCTGCGCTGGTGAGTGGTGGTGAGTGGTGTCTCCAGAAAGAGACGCCCGTGTCCTAACCCCTGTACCTGAATGGGACCTTATTTGGGAAGAGGGTCTTTGCAGCTATACCCAGGTTAAGATAAAGTCATACTGGATGGTGGTAGGCCCTCAATCCAACAACCAGTGACCCTGTAAGAAGAGGCCCTGTGAAGACAGAGGCAGAGACTGACATGTCTCAGCCACAGCCAAGGGATGTCTGGAGCCCCAGGAGCTGGAAGAGGGAGGAAGGAGCCTCCCCTAGACCCTCAGGAGAGAGCGAGGCCCTGCCAGTGCCTCGATCACAGACTCCTGGCCTCATGAACTGGGAGAGAATACATTTGCGTTGTCTTAAGCCCCCCAGCTTGGGGTCATTTCTTACGGCCCACCCTGCTCAGGAGCAGCATGGCGTAGCACCCGGGGGCCTCGGGGAACAAAGGCAGGTCATGTCGGCGCTGCTGGCGACCTCCACGGGGCCACGGGAGACTGGGCGAAACAGACAGTGCAGGAGGAGCGGCCATCGCACTCAGGTGGCCTTGTTTATTTGTCCTGTTTCCCCACCCCATCCCCAGCCTTTAAAACAGGGCCTCTCGATATTAGCCCGCAGAGGACATTTAGCAAAGTCTGGGGACATTCTGGGTTGCATGTGTTGGGGGTATTACTGGCCAGAGAGAGGCCAGAGATGCTGCTACATATGAGCTGCCAGCAGCTGAGGGTAGAAACCTGCTCAACGCAACGGTCCCTGCTCTCTGGGTGTCAGTGAGTGTTTGAGGACCCAGTGGATTCCATGGACTTCTCTCCCCAGGAAGGTGCACCTAAGCCCCCAATTTTTTTTTCAAATTGGGTAAGATTGCGTAGCTGGGCTCTCTCGGAGGCTATCCTGTTCCCCAAACTACAAAGCCTCTCAGTCCTTGTAATCGGAGCGCACCCCGGGGACTGATTCATTAAGGGCGTCCCTCCCTTGAAGTAAACTCGCCAGCGGCTGTCTGCTAATCGCGCTGGCAGGGCCCGCACACACCTCCGAGGCTGCGTGAGCCCGAGCGGCCTTCAGACAGATTCTGGTCCCGCCCGTGTCGGAGACAGCAGGTGGGAGCATCAGGCGAAGGCCTTTCCCAGCCACCTCGGGCCTGATGGCCTCCGGTGAGAGCTCTGGATTACAGGGGTCCTTATAAAACGCGTTCATCGTGGAGAGACTCCACCGGGAGATGGTCCGCACTCGACCTCAGTCGCTTTGAAAACTCGAACTGTCTAGTCTATACCACCATAGTGTTTTCATTTAGAAATGGTCCAGTCAGCTCTGGCAGGTTTGGCTCAGCGGTTAGAACGTCCGCCCAAGGACCACAGGGTCACGAGTTTGATTCCCAGTCAAGGCCATGTACCTCGGTTGCTGGTTCTCCATCCCCGGTAGGAGTGTGTGTGAGAGACAACCAGCCAATGTGTCTCTCTCATGTTGACATTTCTCTCTCCCTCCCACTCTCTCTAGAAATCAACGGAAAAAAGTATCCTCAGGTGAGGATTGAGAAAAGAAAAATAAAGGCCCAATCAGTGGCTGAAAAGCCTCTTTTAGTCACAGAGCCAAATTATAAATGACATTTGTGGGCCCTTTATTGGGGAAACCAGGCCTTTTCTTTGTGACAGTAACCAATGTCTTTATGTTTGCTTTTCACAAAGTTTTTAAAAACACCTGGCTCTTTCCTCTTTTCCTTCATGGGCACTGCGGCTCCCACTCCCCAGGAACCACAATCTCTGATATATTATATCCATCAGTAAGAACTTGCCATGGGCCAGGCTCGGAGTTAATCACTTTGCACCTGACTCACGATTACCCAGTGATATAAACACCATGGTTATCTCCACTTGACACACAGGGAAACTGAGGCCTAAGCAGTGGAACACGTCTTGCAAAGGACAGGTAGAGGGTCTGGGATCCGGCCAGGGTCAGTGTGAATCACCAGACCTTGCGGGCCCTGTCAAGTCTGAGACTTCATAGTTGTAGTGAGGACAGATTGGCGGCCGCAAGAAATCCCTCGGTGGACAGACAAGCCCGCACCGCGCACCACGCTGAGCCCAAGCTCGAGGCTCTGCACTCCTGGCTCCCGTGAGAGCCTCTCCTGCCTCTGACGGAGCCGTCTGCTCCTCCAGTGAGAACGTGACATGTTGAAGTTGGCTCTGCATAGTGGCAGCATTGTTTCCACAAAGAGCCGCGGGGCTGGCCGGACGGAACAACACAGAAAGTCAGCAGGAAACCTGCTCTGTCGAGTGGCCCCAGCGCAGGTCTCAGACAACTCGGGAGGGCCAGCGCACACCTGTCCTGCAGCTGCTGCCCGGTGTCAGGGACAGAGGGCTCTGCAACCCTGTCGGGACCAAATCTTTGCTGCCTCATCATCAAAGCATTTTAAGGCCCCTCGCATGCCCTTGCAACTCCAACATCCCTGCAGCGGAAGCCACCCACACCTGGCAGGCAGCCCAGCCTCTAAAGGTGAACATAGCCCGGAGAGATGCTCCACGCTGAACACACAGGCCCTCGACTGGGCAGGATAGAAGGAGGTCCCCTGTGCATTTTTACTGCTTTTAGGGGATGTCCCCCGGGCTTGTCATGAAACATTGACCCCTAAAAGCATTGTTATTGCTGGACGCAAAGCATTCGTTATTGATTATGCTTCTCACCGATGAAATAGCAAGTTGACATCAGCTTTCATCTGGCACACTCACAGGTGACCAGTAGCTTCCTAAGTTAACCTGCTCTGTTCTTAACGAGCTGTACAGACTTTTCCTGATTCTCTGTTAACCCTCACGGTGACAGCTCTGAGGGCTAGGGGCCTATCTCCAGTTTCAGGAAAGGCAGGGCCCGTGCACAGAGAGGTTAAGGGGTTGATGGGGGAGCACCAGCAAGCCCAGAGCTGCTAAGGCCCCTCTCTGCATCGCTGTGCCTCTCGCCACCAGGCAGCCCGGCCTGCTTGCCAGGTGGGCTCACCTTTTGCTCTCCCGCAAATCTTCCCCTTAGGAAGGTTCTCAGGATTTGCCAGGGAGCAGGGGCTCCAGAAAAGTGTCAGAGTCGCAAGATTTCAGAGCACCAGGCCCCCAGGCATCAGTCAGGATGGCCTCCTGATTTGGAGAAACTGAGCCTCCAAGCAGGGCCAAGGCTGACCCCCAGGAAGACACCCAGGAGAGCTCCATCCTCTGTCCCTTGCCTGGGACACATCTTCCCAGGGAAGGCACTGACCAGAGCAGGAAAAAAGGCGTCCACCCTAAAGGTCATCGCTCGAAGGTCAGCCCTGCCCCAGAGCAGA